CGTCCAGTTGTGGGGTCCCTGTCCCTTTAAGACTTTCAAAAAACACTCGCTTTTCTTTGTCACAGGGGCACCGGCTTCAGGACCCACTCACAGGTCTTACTGTCCTGTTTCCCTAGTATCCAGCACCCCATGCATGCACTGTGTCTGCGCTCTGGTGCCAATGGCTGGGGCTGGGTGTTCAGCAGTCCTGGGCTCCCTCTCCCTCCCCGCTCTGACTCCTCTCCTCCCTCTGGGAGCTGGGGTGAGGGGCCTTGGGTCCCGCCAGGCCGGGGCTTGTATCTTACCTCTTTCACCAGGTGCTGGATTCTCGCAGGTGTGGATGTAGTCTGGCTGTTGTCCTGTGTCTTCTGGTCTCTCTTTTAGGATTAGTTGTATTTGTTGTATTTTCAAAAATATATATGTTTTTGGGAGGAGATTCCCACTGTCTTACTCACGCCGCCATCTTGGCTCCGCATGTTACAATATTCTTAACCATATTCCCTATGCTATACATTGCAAACCCCCTGATTCATTTTATAACTGGGAGTTGGTACTTCTTAATCCACTTCACCTATTTCATACATCCCCTCACCTGTATTCAGTCTGGCAGCCGCCTATTTGTTCTATGTATGTATCAGCCTGTTTCTGTTTTGTATTATTCATTTCTTTTATTCTACATATAAGTGAAATCATATGGTATTTGACTTATTTCACTTGGTATAGTACTATTTAGGTCCAAATGGCAAGATTTCATTCATTTTCATGGCTGAGTAATACCCCATTGTAAGTATGTACCACATCTTTATCCATTCATACATACATGGACACTTGGGTTGCTTCCATATCTTGGCTATTATAAATAATGCAGCAGTGAACATGGGTGCATATGTCTTTTTGAATTAGTATTTTCCTTTTCATTGGATAAGTACCTAGAAGAAGAATTGCTGGATCATATGGTAGTTCTATTTTTAGTTTTTGAGGCTCCTCTGTACTGTTTTGCATTGTGGCTTTACCAATTTGCGTTCCTACCAAGAGGGTACAAGGTTCCATTTTCTCCACACCATTGCCAACACTTATTTCTTGTCTTTTTGTTGATAACTATATTCTCACAAGTGTGAGGTGAGATCTACTTGTGATTTTGATTTGCATTTCCATTATGGCTAGTGATTTTTGTTTTGTTTTGCATGTTTGTTTGTTTTGTGATCTCTATTGACCTACATTTATCAGGTTATGTTTTGGGCTTTCTAGGAACCTAATACCTGTTTTTCCAGCCCATGTTCAGAGTTCCATTGAGAAATAGACAAAGGGAGTCAGGCAGGTGGATACCATTCAGTTTTATTATTGATACTGCAAGTGGAGAATGTGGTTAGGTATTCCAAAGCTTCCTATAACTAAACTAAAGGGAGAGCCTTCTTTTTTGAAGAAGAGAAATACTAAATTCATGCCTATTATTTTAATAATGTTCATTGTATTCTTTAAGCATTTTTATTAGGTTCATTGTATTTTATTTAAAAAACAATACTAGGAGAAACAGACTAATCCCATAAAATTTTAAATATTTCTTTTTATCTTTAACTTTTGAAAAGAAAATAAAAACTATTTGAGATCCATCCGTATAGCATAGGGTGATATTCACTTTTTTAAACTTTTTATTAAAGTATGATTGACATACACTCTTACAAAGGTTTCACATGAAGAAACAATGTGGTTACTACATTTACCCATATTATCAAGTCCCCACCCATACCCCAATGCAGTCACTGTCCATCAGTGCAGCAAGATGTCACAGATCCACTATGTCCCTTCTCTGTGATACACTGTTCTCCCCGTGATCCCCCATACCATGTGTACTAAACATTATACCCCTCAATCCCCTTCTCCCTCCCTCCCCACCCACCCCCCACTTTTGGTAATCACGAGTCCCTTCTTGAAGTCTCTGAGTCTGCTGCTGTTTTGTTCCTTCAGTTTTGCTTCATTGTTATACTCCACAAATGAGGGAAATCATTTGGCATTTGTCTTTCTCTGCCTGCCTTATTTCACTGATCATAATGTCCTCCAGCTCCATCCATGTTGTTGCAAATGGCAGGATTTGTTTCTTTCTTAGGGCTGAGTAGTATTCCATTGTGTATATGTACCACCTCTTCTTTATCCATTCATTTACTGATGTACACTTAGGTTGCTTCCATATCTTGGCTATTGTAAAAAGTGCTGCGATAAACATAGGGGTGCATATGTCTTTTTGAATCTGAGAAGTTGTATACTTTGGGTAAATTCCAAGGAGTGGGATTCCCGGGTCAAATGGTATTTCTATTTTTAGTTTTTTGAGGAATCGCAATATTGCTTTCCACAATGGTTGAACTAGCTTACATTCCCACCAGAAGT